ATGAAAAACTCTTGTTAAGTTTTTGTACATGAACAACAATATGTACCATATTTATAAAAACCAGTCTTAGCATCATCGATTAATTGGCAAGTTGGATATATATTACAGTACTTAGATAGCATAAAATCTCTCCAGGAAGGGAGCTGAACTTTTAGGCATAACTAAAAGGAATGGATGAAAAGAAAGTTATTCTAGCTACAGCTTAAACAAGATTTTTTTTTGTGTGACTGTTTTTATTGAGGTATGATGCCTGGAAGGAAGGCCAGAGTTGGAGAAGGACAAAGAGACATGTGCCAATGTCTAGCAATAGGCTGGTTTGTACTTCTCTGTCATACTTACACAGGGCTATTCTGTGGAAATGACAGGTAGAGATGCCAGTCTGGCCAGATGGAGGAGGTGAGTGCCTCAAGGCCCTTTAGTCTTGCTGGACCATGCGGGAAATTGAATCTGAGCTACCAAAGGTTGTTAGTAATGAAGAATCTCAGTGAAGGTATTTGAGTGCTTGGTCTAGTAGCAATGAATGGTAAAACCACAGGAGGAAGAAGTTGACAGTGCAAATGACAGGAAAGGAATGAGGACAGGGTTGGTGGCAATCTTCCTCACACCATGCCATAGTTGCATCCTACGAGCCAACCATCAAGACTTGTTGATGTCTCCTTGCGATAGCTTTATCCATCCCTTCTAGGTATTGCATTATTCATCCAAGGAATAACTGCCTGTTGGATTTGACTGGGAGACAGGTGCCACTGAATCAGGCCAGAAAGTTGAAGTGGAGAACTAGCTTGATTGAAGAATAGATAGTACATTTGCTTTTTGCCATACTAGATTGATGGTAATAGCTAAATATTGAAATGGAAAAGTAAAGTAGAGCTGATTTTCCCTACATGATTGCAAGGGACTTTCTACAAAACAACATGAAATGAGAAAGTCTAACCAAAATCAGATAAAAGATGTGCAAGAAGGAACTAAACATACTCAGTCACTCTCTTCTCTTTTGATGTGTAATTACTGTGTGGAAACTGAGTATATTTGCATTGTTTACATTTTTTAAGCTGGCATTATGGAGAACAATAAATGGAATTGTGATGGAAATGTTATTTAAGCTTGTTAAACTGAAATAAAAATAAATGAGTGGGAATGGAAAATGCTAGAAAACATGGATAAATATTTTAGCTTTGGGGGGATGTGATCTGAAAAACTCCATCTATTATGTAACTGGATCCTATAAAAGGGTTTATGAGCAACATAAATGATGCTGGGAGAGTTCTAAGACAATATTTTAAGTGTCTGGAAAGCGAACAGAAGAGACCACCTTTCCATCCATCCATAAACATGAAAGAGCTTCATCGGACCACCAAGCTTGCAATGTTCAGACTTGAGGGCGAAACTTGCCCAGTGTCTTCACTGACACATCCCAAAGAGGCTTGTCTGATTCTCAGTTAGCGGAGTATCCCTCGCCCCTTCACCTTCTGCTTTTTCTCCCATTACTTTTATCTTCTCTTGTGCCTTTCTGTTAGCAAGTCTAAAGCAGTGGTTATGAAATGGCTATAAAATTTTTATTTGAAACAGAGATTGTTATGTGGCTTGGGAGGGAAGGGAACAAGGACTAAATAAAAGGAAGTGACTCTGAGTCGTTAAGAAAAAGACGACCTTTAATAGCAACATCTTGCTTTTGTTAAGAGCCAAGCTGAAGCCATCCAAAGCAGGCAGGAAACAAGGTGATAATAAGGGAAAACGTGTTTCACAGACAAAGGAACAGACGGCAGGGAGAGAGAATAGTTCAGAGAAAGAGGTGAACATTGTAAAGCCAGGGCAATGAGGGGCTAATCCCTGCAATTCATGCTGGAGGAGCATGGGGCTGTTTGAACTAGGCCTGGTCTCAAAGTGGATTGTGAGGAATCAGAACAAAAGAGAAGTTCACTCTGAGTTCCTGTCAGGGCAGAAAAACTGCTTTGAGATCAATATAAAAGATGGTAATGGGACATAGAACCAAGTAACAGGGGAAAATAATAACACTGTGCAAGGTCACTGGAGCTTACCTAGCATTAAGTGAGATAAAGCCACCACCACCAAGATGTACAGCCTAGGTTCTGCCACATACTGCTATGCAAGTCACTTCCAACCAGCACTTGGCTGCTAACCTCAGAAGATAATGCCTCAGCTACGTACTCTGAGAATATCTGTTCCTTCAGCAAATAGTAATTGAGATCTCACTGTGCCAGCCAGGACTAATGCTTCAAAGTGCAATAGGAATCTTTATGTCCTTGCACAAAATGGTTTTGCGGGGATAGAAAGAAAGGATCATTGGAAAGTGAGTCCTGGGAAACTGACAATAATCCCTGAAAAGTCACAGACACAGCAGAAAATAGGGGAGAGATGTAGAAGGGTCAACATGGTAACCAGAAAGATGCATACATGTTTAAACTCCTTCTTATGAACACACAGATCCTAATCTCTGATATGATGGAATCAGTAGTTTAGATCTTTGGGAAATAATTTATCCAATGGGAAGAGCCCTCATGAATGTGATTAGTGTCCCTATAAGAGACACCAAAGAATGTTGTAGCCCTCTTCTTACCATGTAAAGATATAAGAACATGACAGTTTGCAACCCAGAAAAAGTCTCTCATCAGAATCCAACCATGTTGACATCCTGTCAGACTTCTAGGTTCCAGAGCTACGGGAAATATGTTTGTTGTTTATAGGCCATTTTGTGGCATTTTGTTAAAGCAGCCTGAGTAAGACATTTTTTAACAGGAGAAACACTCATTTTACTTAGTTCGACTTGCTCCTGGGATGAAGGGAAAGAGAAAATCAAGGACTGACTAGGGGGTGTTGGAATGGAATCAAATGTAAATACATGGGTAGTTATACAAAGGGATTTTTATTAGGTAGGCTGATAGGATCAGAGGTGGATCAAAACTGGATGTCTGCGTGTGGGTGAGCCAGAGAACCCAGGAACAGCTGAATGTCAAAGGCTTGGAAGCTCACTGTAGAGTCACCCATGACAGTCTGAAGGCTAAAGAAACTGGAGACCAATGTCCAAAGGCAATAGTGAAGACTGGTGCTCTTCCCCCCAAAATGAGGGCACATTTCCTTATTTCTCTTTTATTCAGTCCAGAATCAAGCCAGTTGATATTACCCACATCTAGAGTGTGTCTTTCTCCCTCAGTTTTGCCAGCCTACGTGTCAATCATCCACGGAAATGCTGAATACATTATGAATCTCCTAGAAAGTTCTTGTTGAAGTAAAGTTGACATTTCACAATCAGTAGTCATAGAGGGTTAATATTCCAGTGGAAAATAGCTGGCCCTCACTCATGCAGTCCACAGTATCATGCTGGCACCTATAGATGCTCACCATTGGACCCCTAATGGCCCCCCATCCCAGTAGGAGGCTAACTATACCCTGAGTAGTGCTAAAAAGGTTTGGGGATTTCAAGTAGTATGAAAATCTCAGGTAATCAATAGGAATCCATGATTCCTCATGTATCTTGGGGGAGGGATATTTTGTTATTCTTTGGAATAAAGGGGAAATATTATTTTTAAAACCAACTAATTGTAAAATTTAAACATTTTCTATAGAAGCAGCTAACGGTAAAACTACAGAGTTAAATGATTATCCTCTGCCTTCCTGATTAGAAGCAGGCTGCTCCCTGCCGTTTGATTAGTCTTGCTTGTAGTTATGGGCTCATAGTTTATTAAAACTGACTGCTGTGTAGGGCAGAGAGCCTGGACAGTCAAACTCACATGCCAAAGCAGCCACCAGCAAGGCTGTGCCTTTACCTAATTGTTTGGTATAATTGGCATTCATTAGTATATCTTTCATAACATATATGATATATATGATATTTGAGTATATCATAGTATATGAATTGTATTCATTCATTAGTATATCTTTTAATATCTACCTTTCAACCTTTATATGTCTTCCTCATTGTATATGTTTGCTCTCTCTTCCTCATTTGATTCTCAGATTTATGACCACAAATCCTAAATAACAGTTGGCAATGAATAATGAAGCAGTGTTACTGGGTTCTCACAGATCATTGCTGTAACAATACTGGTTTATGCCTGTGGTCCTGGTCTAGATACTAATGACACTTCTCGCCCCTCTGAGATGTGCCCTAGTTTGGACAAGTTACATGGTCACCTTAATGTGAGTGGTGGAGACGATCACACTAGAGAGCAGGTGTCCCATCTAACAGTACAGCTGCTACACACATCTAGCTAATTGCTGCTGTGGGTCCAGTGCTGTCAAATAGACCAGACTTTTTCAAGGGAAGCCAAAAATCTGGGTCCTCACAAGTTGTAAATGCTGGATCAATTTTTAAAACTATCTTCCTAGCCAAAAAAAAAAAAAAAAAAAAAAAAATGTATTGGTGACTTCTTTGTAATCTCTGACTTAACATCTGAAGGGAAGTCTTTAGCATGTTTATCAGTTAAAATTTTCCCAGCAACTGGTCAAAATGTACCAATAGTTTCTAGTTCATGCAGCCATTTATAGAGTCTCACATTGAGAGAGATCCCATCTCAATTGTATGATCCCCGCATAACTCCCAGAACCATTATAAGCTAAAAGTATATATCATCTTGTTTTTATGGATGAGAAATTTTAGTCCTGGAGAAGAAAGACTAGCAGCTTGCTTAAAGCCAATGGGCTTGATTCTGGACTGAATAAAAGAGGAATAAAGAAATGTGCCCTCATTTTGGGGGCATGCTCTAAGGGTCAATGAGATATGTGTGGAAAGCATTTATTAAGCTGTCTGGAACATTAAAATGCTCCAGAAATTATGGACACTATTTTATTATGTACAAGCACACCTTAAAGACACTATAATTTAAGGATACAGGTATGAGGGTCATCACAATGTATATCATTAAATAGTGTTTCCACCTTGGATTCTACATATACCATAAAAATTTGTAAAACAATAACTACAGATTAAATAAATATTTTTAAAAATGTTTTTTCCAATTTAAAAAAAACCCTCTAGAACATTCTTGGTAGCATGAAAATTTAATATTTTGTTTAACAGACTCATTAACATTTACAGAAAGCAATACACAGTGATTTTTTGGCTTTAATAGATTTACTACATTAAAAACACATCTTTCAAATGTGCTAATAAGAAAAGAACCAGAACAATGTTGAACAGAATTTTCAGTGTTTTGGACATAAATAAAACTACAATTTTTTATGGATTCTGGGATATACACTAATACTTCTTCAACAATGGGTTTTGGCATTGAACAAGACTATGAACACATGAATAACAATACCTTTCAGGACAACCAGATCCTTGGGGACAGAAATTCCGACTTCTACCAGTATCTACTGTCATTCATGCCGACATTATATTACTAAAGAGAACCACAGATGGGCTCCCAACACATAAAAATACAATAGCCACATAGTAACTACAAACAGTGCTCAGTAATGCCCACCAAATTTTGAAAAACAGCAAAATATAATAGGAGTATAAAACAAATTTATTTCTTGCCCACACAAAAAAAGGGGCATCATTTTGGTTTTGTTATTATTTTTATAAAAACTACATGTATGCCTATCTTTATGTATATTCCTTACTTAAAAGTTGACAAATATAAAAAGTACAAAGAAAATAAAAATCCCTTGTCTGTCACACTATCAGCACAATGTCACTCCTTTGGTAACAGCAGAACAAAATCACATGATCAAGGATCACACTAGGAAGGATACCCAGCCTCAGGATTTTTGATGCCCGCTCATCAGCCACTTAAAAATTCATAGGCTGGACTTCCTTTTATGTTCTCGAATATATTTACTATGTCACTTGCCTCCTGGCACTGAGGAACTTTTGAACCAGGCCAATAGTGTTTAACAAACAAGGGTGAAAAGCATGGCTAAGACTCTAATCCAAAGCTTTTGCTGCTCAAATTTTAAAGTCAGGTGAAGGGCTGGCATGTGAGGGATTTAGCTCAATGGCTGCCTAATAAGTGCAAGGTCATGAGTTTGATCCCCAGTACCAAAAATTGTAATAATAATAAAAAATAAAAAGAAAGCCAGTAAAATTTTAGTAGTTTATTTAGTCTTATCACTATGCCTGCCCCCATTCATTCATGAGAACACAATAGAGACGTTAAGTTCTTTATCCAGGTGTCACAATGGAGCAGGACTGAAACTGATCATCTAACTGGCTAGCTTGGGGTCTTCCTCCAACTGGCCACATAAGAATAAACCTCAGCAGGGGATAGGGCTACAGTTATTATGTGCTTAGATTAGATTTGTGTAACTAGATAAAGTAGCCGTGTAACTCCTGGGCCCATAACTGGTAAGCACACTGGCTCTAGGAAGAAGACAAGTCACAAACAGACCAAGTGGCCAAATGAATGTGTGACCTGAGCCACATGATCAAGGAGCACTGAGTGAGGCCCACACAGGAAGACAAAAGTGTGGTGAAGGCTCATGACCCCTTTCTGAATCACTGTACTACCAGGGCATTATGGAAGACAAAGTACCCGAAAGGCCCCTGAGAGTCAAAAAAAGAAAACTATCAATTGGCCAGCTTCTTTCTCCAGTTAACAGGTTACGGGTCCACAGAGGTTATGAAGTCTTTATGAAGTCATCTCCCCTCAGGTCCCAACTCATTTTTCAGTGGTCCTTACAATCTTGTCTCCCCTTTTAAGTGTCTCCTCCCATCTAAAGTCTTCTCTAGGTGAATTTCTGTCAACTAAGAAAAATTAACTTAGATATTTTATTTTATTTTATTTGGTACCGGGGATCGAACTCACAACTTTGCACTTGCCAAGCAGGTGCCTGCACCACTGAACTAAACCTCTGGACCCTAGCCTAGATATTGTAAAGGTCATGGCTCAACTCTTTTTATCAATCTATGCCACTTACATCTTTTCTTTTTCTGTAATTTTTAATTTTATTTTTTTGTATGGTATTAAGGACTAAACCCAGAGCCTTGTGCATTCTAGGCAAGGCTTCCGCCGCTAAACTACATCACTAGCACTTTTTACTTTTTACTTTGGGACAGACTCTCACTAAATTATGTAGCCAGGCCTCGAACTTGCAATCCTGTCTCTGCCTCCTAAATACTGGAATTACACGCATGAATTAACAAATTTGGTCACGCTATTTAATTCTTTATAATACAGCTCTTCACCATCATGTAGGCAGTTTGAAAGTGCCATTCTTTATTTTCTTCATAGTTTCAGATGCTCTTTATTTAGCAAACTTTTATCCTTAAATATAAATATTTAAAGCTAAGACATGACACGCATCGTGGTGCATGCCTGTAATCCCAGCACTGGGAGGCTGAGGCAAGAGGATTGCCGTGAGTTTGAGGTCAGCCTGGGTTATACAGTGAGTTCAAGGCTAGCCTGAATTGCACAGTAAGACTCTGTCTTTCAAAAAAAGTAAGCAAAAAACAACAACAACAAAATAAATCTAGATCAGTTTTTTTCACTCCTTTCCATGTTATAACCACGGTACAAGCTCAATACAGATCAGATTTGTATTTGCCAGTTCTCAACATGCTTGCCTGCGAATGAGCTCTTTCAGCTGTGTCAGTCTGTCATTTTTTAGTGCTTCCCGGATGGAGTGAAAGAATGCAAAGTAGTGTTCAAAGTTGTGCATCATCAGCAGGACACCGGCCAGCAGCTCATTGGTCATCAGCAGATGGTGGATGTACGCACGAGTGTGATTCTTACAGCAGTAACAGGAGCACTCTCTCACCAATGGGCTAAAGTCCTCCCTGTACCTGAGGAAGGGGGTCATGCAACATTTCAGAAAGTGAAGAACATAAGAAATCCATACCCTAGGCTTCTGATGAGGTAATCAATGGTTAATTACATCATTGGTAAACTTTTAGTGTTGGCACCCGCTCAAGATGGCAACACAGGTAAAAGTTAACAAAGAACACAATGAATCAGGACATGGGAGTTTTCCTCACATGTAAACTCCAAGACTGGGAGTAAAGAAATTTGTAGTCACTCACTCACATTAAGCATTATTCATCGCACTGTAAAGGCCAATAATGTTCAGAAATGCGGTCTGACACTTCTCTCCCACTTGCTACCAGAAATACAGTAGTATCAGAAGACGTGGTACAGTACGATCTTCTTTTTTATGAATTGTTGTGGTTTATAAAGCACCTTCATATATACTGTATTATTCCATCTCTTCATCTACTCTTAGAAATAGCCATTTTTATTATCATTTTACAGATGAAGACAAGGGGGATTTATAGGGAGGGTTTTGGGGCTACCCTGCCATAGTTTGAGTGCCAGCTCCATAACTCACTTGGGCAAGTCACTTAACAAGTACCTGTGTCTTTTTTCTCAACCATAAGCCAGAGATATTAATAGCCCTAAGTTGTAGGGTTTAAATGAGTTAAAATAGCAAAAGTGCTTGAATGCTGCTGGGTAGATACGTAATACTTATATAGGGTTACCTTCTACCAGCTACTAAAGAGAAATTAAATGATTTGACCAACACTACATAGTCAAGAGCAATGCCAGAATTTATCTCTAAGTTCCCAAAACTTCAAGTTGAGCACTGGTAATAAGCAAAATCCAATTTCTAATCAAATCTACAATGTAAAGGGAATTTTAATAGTAACCATTATATCATGCTGACATTTTAAAAAAAATTTTATTTAAAAGGAAAAAGAGAAAAACCAAAACAAAACAAAGCGGTGTAAGGGTACAAGTAATACAGAAATACAAAAAAAAATAAAATAAAATAAAAAAAAAGTAAGAAATCACCAGTTAATAGATTACATATTATCATCTTAGAGATAGTTGCTCAAGTCACAGTATCAAAGCACACAAAGCGGACATTCAAACAGTGAGACTGCAAACAGTTGTGTTCAATGATCCAACCAAAACATTAATATGGTCAGCTATTTAACACCCCTAAACACACTTGCTGTTGTATCCAGAGCACTTTTTTTCCCTCTCTTTTTTACAACAAAATGTACACATTTTGGGTTTTATTACTCCTTAGTTCTTATTACTTTTTTGGTGGGGAGAGAATAAAGTCAAATATGGCAAAACAAAGCTGTCAGTCAAAACCAAGGATAGACATTAGCACATGATGTAAAAACAGAGTACAAGGTTATCAACAATGTCTCTTGTTTCCTTAAAAAGAATTGTCTATCTCATTAGATATTATAAAGTTGAACAAAACAGTAGAGAACAAGACCAATAAAACTTAAGCATTGTAAACATTACAGGACTTCCAAAGGAGACAATAGTCAAACCAGAATGGGCAACTTAGTGAATCTTATTGCCTTCAAAGTAGTTGCCTATACCCTGAAACTTGATACTATCATACAGAATGGAGCAGAGTCTAATCAGTCAAAACAAGATAGTGGGAGTATTACAGGACTTCAAAACAAATTAATAGGAAATCAAAAAAAGTTACTATTATATATCCTGCTAATTTTAAAAATTTTTCCCCTTAATTAAAAAAACACTAAAAAAATAACTAAATAATTTTTTTAATGAATAAAGGAAGATTGAGATAAAAGAGGACATAACAATATAACAATACAGGTCAAAGCATGACTGTTTCAGCAACCTAGTGCTTCACCACCAAATAACCCGACTTAATAGTAGTTACCATAGTGTCTGTCTTTTTCCTTGAAATGTTTGAATAAAACTTCATATACTATAGCTTCAAATATTTCCACATCAAGAAGCCCAGAATAAAGCCTTTCCAATTAATAAGTGAAAACTTTATAAGGCTTCAAGGCCCATGCTGACATTTTTTTTTAAAAAGTGAATCTGCTTGGCTATTTTTCAAGAAGTTAAATGAACTAGATTTTACCATTTCAGACCTACAACCCAGATGCACCAATAGAATATAAAGAAGAACTAGATTTTCATTCTTTCATAAATTCATAAATCTGTATTATTACTAAAAAAATAAGTAAATAAGAATCCCTAAAATGTTCCTTCAGAAAAACCAACAAATAACCTAGAATTAAAGTGAGCACACCAAATTCACAGAAAAACCACTCACTGTACTGGTAAATACCACTTTGGGGCAAATGCAAAATTAAAAGATATCTTAGTTCATCTAAGGCAAATATCTTAGTTAAAATTTATAACCTTTATATAGCCAAGATGATTTAAATTCCTTAAAATTTACAAATTATGTTGTATCTTATTTCACTCTGTCATCTTTAAAGTAAATCAAGAGGAGCAAAAAGCACTAAACAATGGATCTATCTAATCTCTCCAACAGCTTTTTGAAAGCGATGGATACTTAACCTTAGCTTTCTGACAAAGTACACAAACGCATCTACAGAACACAAGATTTTTGGAACCAAATTTGAGAAGGCCTAGTGATACCCAACTATAAATATTTTATGAAGTCATAAACTGAAAAGAGAGCAGTTACATAAACTTTTAAAAGAGACTAAAATTTAACAAGTCAGAAATCAAACTCCAAACTTAAAAAAAAAGTCTTACTTTTTTTCCTTCAGATTAATTTCAAATGATGTCATTTTTTGGTTGCAACCAGTTGTTTTAATTTTCTTTATTTGCTCCTCACATTTTTCCTCTTCTTGTATCCCATTTTGTTGTAATACTGAAGGACAAACAAATAAAAAGTCTTGAATGAAGATGAGATAATGAGTAGGCACTGAATAATTTTAGTCATTATATCATGCCTTTTGACTCTGTAATTCTACTCTTAAAAGTTTATCCTAAGGAAATCACGAGAAAATAAAAATAGCATGTTCCCAAATAGACACAGATTTATTATCTCCAACATCGAAACAATTTAAGATAATCAACAATGTCTAAGCAAATTATGGGTATGAGTATCTTAACATATAATCTTAGAATCAAGGAATGATTTTGAAAGTGCAGTGTGTGTGTGCCTATGTGTTTTGGGGTCATTCCTATGCTTTAACACAAATACATGCAAATAAACTGGGCTTTGACTACAAGTAGATTGAGTGGAATATGGTTTTAATTTAAATATTCTGTATGGAGACTCTAGGCTTCCAAGGAACCCAGATTATCCAGAATTAATTGCGAACTTGAGTTGTTCCCTTGAACTTTTTGCTTTAAGGAAGAACATTTCTGGAACTGCCAAAGAAATACCAGTTCTACAAAAAGCCAGTTGCCTGGAAAAAGGGAAGGCAAGTAAGAGAGGTATCTTGGGAATGAATGATAACAATCTCAATGATGACCCAATGAAAATAGGTAGATGGCCTTGGGAAGATCATTCTGTTCATGTCAAAGGAAGCAGAGAAGTAGCCTGAACACTAAGCTTATTCAAGTGAATTTATACGTTAATATGGGAAACCATAATAAAATCCTGACATTTTGGAAAATTCTTGTCATTTAGTGAACTGCTTGCAATTTATTTCTTTTGATTTTAACTATGTAATTAGCAAAGAACTTATTTATAACATGCACACATCATATAAATGATTAATAACTCTTTAATAAAAATGTTCAAGCTTTTTTAGTTTTCCTAGTCATGAAGTTGGTTTCCTCTAGCCAAAAAGGAACTTGTTCATTCCTGAAAACTCAGTTTCAGGTTCTTCTTAAAGCTTCACATATTCATGCTAGTGAATGACTAACAGTTATCCTTATCCTAGTGGAAATAATTTAGTTTATAAATGAAGTCATGAAAATATATAAAGTGTTAATGGTATGCCTATCCACATACATTATATTCTGGTCTGTCAAAAAGACAGTAAAATTGACCTCCTATGTATAATAACTTGACCAATATGATTTATTTTATTTCCAGAAGTAACCTGATTTAGATTAATGCCTCAGCTGCTTTGAAAAACTCTGACATCTTCTGAATGAAATTTGTATCACCAGTGGAGAATAAAACCTTTAAAGAAGTCCAGATTTAGGTTTGGAAGTGGTTGAGGAATACTTCAAGGGAAAGCAGGAGAAAGAAAGGGAAAGCCCCTCTGTGACAGCCAGAGGGCAGGCTGGGTTGGCCACACTTTCTAGAACTGCTTCAAGGCATTGCTCCTACAGCCTGTGTCCTGGGCCCTTTCCCACTGCGGCTGAGAGTTAGACGATGAAACTCCTTGACTTGACTTCTAAATAGCTAAATGATAAAAGAAAACAGCAGTGTTTCAAAGCAATATTAGCAGAGAAAAACAGTTTTCACTCTCAGTGTGTAAAAGAACACCAAAAAGCAAAAGCAATGCAAGGATCAGATGATAATAAGTCTCTGTAATTTAATTGCATGGGACTTGCAAAAAGCAAACAAAAACTCTTCTGTGAAAAAACAAATTAACCTTTACAAAGCAGTTCAAAGGCTTCTCTTCTTAGATTTTCATCACAATGTACTCAGTTCTTCTTTCAGGTTGCTAACAGAAGAGGTCTTGTTTTTGCTCACTTCAAAATCACATCCTAATTTTGACGAGCTGCACTTACAGTATTAAGTGCCTAGTTTTATGTGCCAACATGCCAGGGCATACAGATAAGACACAAAGGTAAAGTTTTATAAGACTGGTTTTATGTGCACATGTTTCTGTCTTATGACTCGGGTCAAAATTAATAGGAAATAGAAGAAACGTAAGGATAAGACAGAGATTAGCTTCAAAAGACCTACATGTCTCTTCAGGATTCGGCTGGTAATCAAAGTTGAATGTCAGGGCACATCCCCGCTCTGTCACTAGATAAGGAAAAAAACTCTCAAATATGTCCACTCCTCTTTCAATGCACTCGAGCACCTCATCTGGCCGGCTAACACCACAAATGAGCCTGTTAGAGTAATAATAAGGACAGTGACATGAGGACAACGCCATGTAAGAAGTCAGAATCTAATCATCAGGGAATTAAAAGCAACAATAATGAACACCACCATCAAAAGGAGGGTGGCAGATAGTGGATAGAAATGTGTGGTGAAAGAATTTAAGGTGTGAAAGAGACAGACTTGAGCTTGATTCCTAGCTCTATCATTTATGTAACTGATGTGTTTTGGGCAGATTTCTTAGGATCTCTGAGTTTCAGTTTTCTCATTTAAAAAACAAGAGCAATAATACTGCCACAGAATCATTGTGAGGATTAATGAGATACTTTAAAGCATATAGTACAGTTTCTAATTTCAGAAAGAAGCTCAGTAATTATAAGTTTCCTTTCCACTCTCATCCTTTCTGAACAACCTCCGTGTCTTAGATTGAACTTTAGAGTCAATATCTATACTAAATAGATGTTTTTAGGGCAAAGTTGTATACTTTATTTCTCTTTCAAATACTTTCCCTTTTTTAACTGTATTTTGCCCAAAATTACTTTTTATAATTGATTTAATAAAGACATTCTGTCTAGTATATTCTTTGTAGGTTCACTTATAAGCAATCGTTGCTCTTAGAATTTCAACTCTGGCCACAGGGTCTAAGAATCTAGATGGCTTTTTTTCTTCCCTTTTCTGTTATTAAAAGGTCTGTACAATGGGATAAAATGGTGTTTTCAAAGGTAATGGGTAAGGCATTCTGGGAGTTTTAATAATTCTCAACCAGAACTTGCCATGAAAACAAGAGGGATCAAGGCTGGCTGCCCAGAACTATTTTTAATGTTTGCTTTTCTACCCAGAGTCCCTTTTCATAAACTAAAAGAGAAAAGCTTACATACTCTCTGATTTCTAAAAGAAGTTTTACAAAAAGGCTATGTAATATTAAACTAGCAGAACCCATAAATATATGCCAGTTTTCCTGACTACAGTTTCCTTCAAGTCATGTAATGTTTTAGAACTCCTCTCCAACTGAAGCTGGCATTCCTACACACTCACAGAAAAACAATCCCCGCTTTCACATTCAGTAACAGACATCTGTGAACACTTAACATAAAAAAGTCCAGAAAATGACTAGAAATACTAGTGCTGAGTTGTTATCTGTACCAGAAGTAGAAGTGGGAGTAATGAATACAAAAAAACAAGTTTAAAATTGAAGGGAGAAAGGATGGGGGATGAGGAAAATACTCTGTTCTGGGTGGTCTTCACATAAGTGTGTTCACATGTAAGATTTCTCTGAGCTTTTCTACCTCTCATGCGCTTTACTGTATGCCACACCTGGCTTTTTTCTTTAAACCAGAGATCGAGCTCACAATCTCACACTTGCCAGACAGGCATTTCTGCTGCTGAGCTAGATTCCTGGCCCTTACACCTGGCTTTTTTAAAAAGTAGAAATCACAATAGCCTGTTAAGAGTCTAAAGCAGCACCTCATAACCAAACTTCCTAATACATTTCCAGGGAACCAGTATAAATATTACACCAAGTGAGATAAAAGACTACATTCTTTTTTTTTAATTGACAAATCAAATTGTATGAAGTTGTCATGTGCAAAGTGTTTACAAGTACATATACCCTGTAAAATGGCTACATCTAGAGAATTAATACTTAACATCCATTCTCTTTGCATTTTTTAAATATAATATTGTCATCAGTAACTGTGATCACAAGGCTGTATGCTAGACCTGTGGAACATTTTCCTTTAGACTGGTACGTGTCTTTGACTAACACCTTTTAACTCTCACTTTCTCTTCAACTGCCCCAGGCTCTGATAACCACCACTGTACTCTACTTCTATGAGATCAACTTTTTAAGATCCCATATGTGAGTGAGATCATGCAATATTTGTCTTTTTATGCTTGAGTTTTTTTTAACTTAATAACCTCCAGATTTACCCATGTTAAGAAAGAAAGAAAACAGTATCTTAGTACAACATCAATGCATTTAGAAACTCAGAATTTGTACTTGGAATCTTCAGATCATCACTTCTCACCAATATATGGTAAATATCGTAACTTATGGAAATCTAAGAACCAACCTACCAGTGTTGCTGGTTCCCTCAATTTCACTATCTGGTTCAAATCTAAGCACGTCTTAAAGGTTCTAATTAGTAGAATAATCATTCCGCTAGGTACCCTGGTCCTGTCCTCATCTTTCCTTGATTTAAACTAAAGCAACATATTGCTCCCAGGTACTGTGTTATATTGAGTAAAAAACAACATTGTACTTGGCATGTGAGAGGAAGTAGCATAACATTTGTCCCCACTTATGAGGAACAAATGAATATACATGGCAATTATTCTCTGCTCTGCATTCTGCATCAGCCTTGATGGAAAGTTCCTCATAATCTGCTGAGAAAGGATAGAAAACACACAACAGAACATCAGAAGCCATACTCACATACACATTGCACCCTGCACAGGGGCTGAACATGCCCAGCCTGCACCCCAACCCAACACTAGCCTTGGTTTGTCCTCGGGCAGCTCTGCAGTGACTGATGACAGAAGCTGCAGTCTGGCCTCCAGGGTTGCTGGATTCCCCTGAAAGCCGTCCAGGAGGAAGCCACCAACAGGCCGTTTGGCTGTCTCTCGTGCCGACCTCAGCCGCTCCTCCATCACATCTCCACCTTCGATCACTCCAATGATCATGCTTTTCTGAAGGACCTGAGGGGGGAAAATGGATTGAATACTCTTAATCACTTTCAGTAGCTGAGGTGAACACAAATATTACCCAGAAATCAATGAACAGAAAGAGATCTCAACAAAGCTGCCATAGATGAAGCAGAGAGAACCCAGGGTGTACTCTGTGAAAAACACCGAGTAGGGGAGAAAAGGCTGAGGAAAAACAGGCAATCAAAATATGCCACAATGTTCTAGTTCAGATTAAAAAAAAAAAAAAAAAAAAAGATTGAGTAGGTAAGAGAGGAAAAGAACAGAGCAAAGTTTTCATTTGTTCAAAGAACTATTCAGGCCTGCTGTAGGTTATCTTTAAATCGCTCAGCTATAGACAAATGTGACAAATTTAGGAACTGTTTGGGACAGACAGGCATGGTGGGACAGGGTAGCAGGCATAGCTATCTATAAGGCTGGGCATGGGGATGGGGGTTGCTTAAGTTCAGGAGTTCAAGGCTAGCCTAGGCAACACAGCAAGATCTCATCTTAAAAAAAAAAAAAGAGGGAGGGAGAGATGAAAGGGGAAAGGAGGGAGGAAGGAAGGAAAAAAAAGAAGAAAATTTAGTCAAGACTATCCATTTGGAAAAAAACCAAGATTTCTATCTTAGTCGGACTAAAATAGTTATGTAAGTGTTTGAATAACGAACTAAATATTTTTGAAATCTTGAATTAATGAAGGCCTTCATAAGAAAGCTAAAGCTTATGAGAAGTGGTTGATATGTTTGAGTATAAACATACTCACCCTGACTCACCAGGTGTGGGGGTACATGACTGTAATCCCAGCACTCGGGAACAAGGTAGAAGGATGTCTGTGAGTTCAAGGCCAACTGAATTATACAGCGAGACCTTGTCTCAAAAAACCAAACACACAAACAAACAAAAAATATATTAAATTTCTCTAATGAAATGTGCCATAACAAAGGCAAAGAAGGACTTACTCTTTGGGGAAACTGGCAGGTATATACCATAGAGATGCAACAAATCCTCTAAGGAAATAGCAAGCTTAGATAAATCTAGGTAGCCTATGTGAAAATGAGATTCAGAAAAATAAATGCCCTATCCATTAAACCTACTAAACTACTAAACATCGCCAGTAAGGAAATGCAAATAGGAAACAATGAGATGTCATTTTTACCCATCAAAATAAGCAAAAAGGTAAAACATAGATAACATAATTGAGGTTAAAGTAAAGATAAATGGCACGAGTCCTGATAACTAGAGAGAGTAAAAATTAGTTGAGCTTCTCAAGAAGGCCGGAAGGTAACATTTATCAAAATGTCAATGCTTTTATCTTTGGGTTCTGAAATTACATTTCCAACAATCTCTCCTACAAATACATTCTTTCATAAGCACCAAGGTATATTTATAAAGATGTTTGGCATAATGAAAACTAGAAATAATCTAAACATCCATTAACAGAGTAAAAAGGCTTAAATAAACTATGATATACTCATAGTATGGCTTCTGATGCAGCTGTTTTAAAAAGAATACAGTAGATAATCATATACATTCAGAGGGTAAAAGTCTCAGACATTATTAATTAAAAATAAGTGGCCTGGCGAGCTAAAAACATGAACTGCAATCTCTAGCCCATAGTGAAGCTTTGGCACTTCACTCCAAGAATGGTAAGGTCTGTCTAAGGACCTTCACTCAACTGGGGAAACTCCCTGCAATAGGGATAGATATTCTCAACCCAAGAAACACATCTGAAACCTTCAGTTTCCCTAAGGGAATATAGGAAAACGACAAAATGAGAGAGTAACAGCCATATCAAACCTCTAGCCCATCCCAAGCATGTCCGAGAAGACATGGACATAGAAGAAAATGTAAGTCATATACCTGAAACTCCTGAAATGATAGCAATTGAAGTAATGAAACAACTCCAGGAAGGTATAAAAGAACTCAGATCAGAAATAATCTCCCAGGTTAAAGAAGAAATGATAAATATAATGAAAGAAATGCTGAACATATCTAAGGAAGACATAATTAAAAAATTAGAGGAACAAAGCAAAAAGACACAAACCTTGAATGAACAATGTAAGAAACAAACAGAACGCATGAAACATATTCAAAGAGATATACAGGAAATCAAAAATTCCATCAAAAGTTGGCAAAACCACCTCAATGAAAGTGAAGATAGACTTTCAGACCTCAAAGATAAGATTGCAGCTAGTCAAACAGGAAAGGAAAGATCTCTTAAAAATAACAAGGAATCAGGAAACAACAATTCAACAGCTTCAAGATGATGCAAAGAAAAACAACAGAAGTTTGATAGGCATAAATGAAAAAGAAGGTAACAACACAAATGCTATCAAGAGGCTATTTACAGAATAACTGAAAATTGAGACTCAAAAAGATGACAGATTGACAAGCAAGAGAATACAGAGCCTCCCTGCGAGAGACAACTCAGATTAAAACATCTTGGAGAGGTCAGGATAGAGGAAGACGGATCCTCTTGACCCAGGAAGAAAGGGAAAAGAGCTGGTCAAACACGCAGTCCCAGGGCTACCACTGGAGCAGTTAAGATTAGCGGCCACAGTGCTCTTGCCGGAGTCGCCTGAAAGTACAGCCTCAACTCGCTGGAGGTGCCCAAACTGATGCTGCTGCGACTCGCAAAAGTCACCCGAACTAGCACTGCCATGACTCACTGGAGCTGCGTTACATTGAAGTCAGAGATCGGCGAGCCCAATGAAGAATGGAGCCGATGAGGGACCTGCATTAACCCATGGTGAGTGCTGGGAACAAGACCTTCCCATGGGAAAGTGGGGGGCCAACGACATGTTGGAACCGGGCAGGACAGGCTTGAACTAGGAACGGCAGTGACTTATGGCAGTCAGTTACTCCCTTCCCAGAGCAGATTGGTGGGATTTGCTATGCCTGGGTCATGCCCCTGGCCGGGACCCAATAAGTTGTCCCAAACCGATTCCATACATGCAGCACACATTAACACAGTGAAGCCCCTGCAGGTTGACTGGCCCAGATGGGAGGGGCCAGCATATGCTGCCCCTGCTTGCACCTCAGTGACCAACAGCAAACTGGAGAGGGTAGAAATCCCTAGCCAGTGCACTTCAGAAGAATCATAACCAAAAAGGAAAGGGGCTGGGACCTCCACTATACACCTGTATGGAAGAAACCAAAAATATGACAAGAGAAAGAAATAAGAAAAAGCCCCCAACCCCCAACCCTGGAATATTGATCCAGGAGAGTTAAATATAAAAACGATTGAGGGCAGCAAACATGCAATATCAGACATGGCATCAGCAGACATAAAGAGATATCTTCGGGACCTCGCAGATGAGTTCAAAACTGAATTATTAACAAAAGTAAAGCAAGAGATAAGTATATTAATAAAAGAAATGCTAAGCACCTCTCAAGAAGCCACAGACGGAAGAATGGAGGAACACAAAAAAAGGAGAGAAATGTTTGATGAAGAATAAAAAGAAAACCTAAAATATATGAAGCAGATTCAAAGAGATTACCAGGAAATTAAAAACTCCATTGAAAGCTGGCTTGAAATAAACTAAGGATAGATTATCAAAACTTGAAGACAGGTTTGCAATGTGTGATCATAAAAGGAAAGATCTCTTAAAAATAACAAGAAAATGGGCAGTAACAATACAAAGGCTAGAAGACCATAAGATCTATAACTTAAGAATAAAAAATGTGAGTGAAGAAGCAGGAGTAAAAACAAAGAAAATACAAAGGCTATTCAAGAAATAATTAAGGAAAACTTCCCAAGCATAGGAAAAGTAAATGGTATTCAGATGTATAAGGCATAGAATTCTAGCTGCCTACAACCAAAACAGAGCTATACCCAGACATATAATAATCAAGATCCCAGAAATTCATCACAAGAACAGAATATTAAAAGCTGTCAGAAAAAAGAAACAGATCACCTATGAAGGAAAACCCATCAAAATCATGGCAGACTTCTCGACACAGGCCATCAAATCAAGAGCTTGGAGCGAAGTACTGCAAGCCCTGAAAGAAAGTAACCTCCAGCCCAGATTGATGTACTCTGCAAAACTGTGTCTAGAAATTAATGGAGAAACAAGATGCTTCCACGACAAAGAACAACTAGGGGATTTGTGACCACCAATCCAACCCTACAGAGAATACTAAAGGACATTCTACAGAGAGAGAAAAAAAATACCAGGATTTCAGAAACAGTGGCAGAGAGGCCTCAATGAATGGGGCAGACAGTGGAATAAAGGAGAAAAGTAGACAACCAATGGCAGAAAAATAGCATAGCAGAAATGAGGTAGAGAAGGTTGGCTATAATCTAACATAGATGACCTTGATACACCAAGATATAGGAAATATATGAACCTGAAAAATGGCTTATGGACCAAAAATCAAATATGAGAACACAATGCTCTTTGTGACAGGGAACCAGAGGGAAATAGGGGCAACTCAATCAGCACCTGCAGATAGGTTGGAAAGACAGGATACTTATGTGCAGTAGAGAACTACTTAGCTGTAACAAAGGAAAACCTTGAGGCTTTTGTAGGTAAAGAAATATAACTTGAGATTGAGTTCAAGAGTGAGAAGGTTTGGAACCACTTAGGTAAATAGCAGGGTGCCCCCCCATCCCATATAAAAACTGAGGGAGTTGGTGGGACCCAAAATGTACAGCACCCTGTGGGAGTGAAAGGGGAGGAACAGTCTTAAAAAAGAAGGCAGAGGATATTGCTAATAGTGTATCAGTAATTAAAACCCACACTGCTCACACCACTCTGTTTAGACGGATTGTATTCTGTTCCAGATGTTCTACTTATACTAGATGTGAGGGCACAGACAGTTATCCCAAAAATAGTAGGATATAGTATGGTAATCATCCTTAATTTCCTATTAACTTAATCTGAAGCGCTGTATAACTTACGCTGTTTAATCATGACTGATCTTAGTTGAGCCTGGTTTGTTAGATTGCTGTTTTATATTGACAGATTTTATCCAAATCTGTTATGATTGATAGTAGCAAGTCTGAGAGT